GATGATGGGGTGATGATGATGACGATGATGACGATGATGATGATGATGATGATGATGATGCTGATGTTGATGATGATGATGATGATGATGATGGTTTAGACATTTCCTTTTTTCGGGCGTCGAACCACCGCAGGTTTGTGTCATCGCGATCCAGCTTGCTCGAGAGTTTCAACTTCAACCCCAGAAGCCCCGGCAGGGGGGCACACACGCGGCGAGACTCAAAACCCCCGAAGCAGCGGTAACGACATGGCGAGATGCGCTCGCCAACCGCCCCACCAACACCAAAGGGGAGAGGGCGCACCAAGGGCGAGTGGCCCAAAACACCAGGACACACACTTCAAACGCATTAAACCCCCATGAGGCCTTCCCACCAGCCTTTTCCACGTCTCTTTGTAGTGGCTTCCTAAACCTGTTGTACACCCTTCAGACTTGTAAATATACTCTCACAAGCGTGCGCGTACTGGATTCAGCGGGGGGCGGTAGCTCGAATTAGTTGCTCTAAACTGGGAACTAATGTGACCACCAAACTGTTGGCCCCGGCCTGACATAATGCCTGCGCGCGACATTCGTGCCAAACCCTCGCACATGTGGACGGCGAAAAGGGTAGGCCGTGGCACTGTCGCGTCACAGGCCACGCACAGAAAAAAAACCTCCTCCGCAGTCCAACCCCAAGAAAGTGGCTCCTTGGTTCAAGCAGTGGAAGGACAACTCGACACGGCGGGGGGGTCGAATCCCGTTGCAAGATCCCCCTCGCGCTCGAGGCACGGCGGGGGGGTCGAATCCAGTTGCAACATCCCCCTCGCGCTCGAGCCTCCGACGCTGAGTTGGCGGTGCGGCGCGAGTGGCCTTGTCGCGTCTCTAAAACAGGGCTAGGATCGGGATAAATCGCTCCAGAGCGTTCCGGAGCGCTCTCAGAGCGTTCCGGAACGCTCTGGAGCGGCCGCGGCGCCCAATACATCCTCCAAACCCGCCGATTCTCAGAGATTTCGAATTATCCCGATCCGATTTTGTCCCGATCTTCGCGTCGTTTTAGTCTCTCCGGGCCGCGTCTACCGCGCTCCCTGGCGGGCGGTTGTAGCTGCGCCGCCGGCCCCCGCTGCGGGCCCGAGCTGCTGCCCATGCCGCTTCCTCTGGGGCCCTCACCGGCGCCGCCCCCGCTGGCCGAACAGTCGTCGTGGACGGGCGGCTCCACCTTGTCTCTGGCACTGGGGCCGGCGACGGCTCCGTCTTCACCCCCGCCAGCCTGACCCTCAGCTCGACGCTCTCCCGCCGCGCCTCATGGAGGCGCTCGGATCCCGGGGGGGAGGGGGGGGGCGACCTTCTGCGTCTCGGCGGGGTCTGAGACTCCCCAGGGTGCTCCTCGCTTGGCGGTGGGGTGGGCACCTCTCGTTCTCGCCGCTCGAGCCTGCCGCCTCCGCGTGGGCTGCGGGCGCCGCATGGCATCCGCTGCTCGAGGGGCTGGGTGGCGCACGCGGCGGGGAGGTTGCCGCGCGGCCTTTGCCCCCTTCCGCGCTTGCGGCCTCGATTCCGTCGTCGCGGGGCGGCCGGCGCTGGCGCCGACTCCTCTGGCGGGCCCAGACCGCGCGCCATCTGCTCGCCGCGTCCGAAGTACTTCTTGCCACCAGAGGCCCGCTCCTCTCCGCGATGACGCCCGCTGCGCGCGTTGCGGCAATATCCCGGCAGCGCGTGATCGACCTCCTAGGTTGGAGTTGGCAGCGCGGGGGCAGCCCGGGTCCGCGCGAGCGATTTCATCGGCGTGCTCGCCTCGGTGCCGCTTGCACCTGGCCTTGCGTCGCCAGCTGTCTATTAATCATCGGCGGGCCTCGCTGCTCCTCCAGCCGCGGCTCCGTCCGCTGGCGCCATCATGCGGCCCGCTGCTGTCTCTCGCGCGGGGTCTCGGGAGAAACCGTCGATCTCCAAGCAGGCGCTTCGCCTCCAACCTGGGGAAGCGCCAGCCGACGACGCGGTCGGCCAAAATGTTCCCGAGGAGGCAGCAGCGCTCCGCCTCGCTGCTCGAACAGCTAGAGCTAGAGCCCGCCCGAACTGGCTACGGAGGACAAGTTGCGTCGTGGGGGGCCCGTCCGATCCTCCGTTTCCATGGTGCGCGATGGCCTCGCAGCCCCAACCAAGTGTCGAATCGCGCGCACTAGGTCGCACTGGTAGAGAAAGACGGCGAAGCCTCCTTCTCGGCGAAGGGGGAGTAGCACGCATGCAAGGGTCTAGCTTCGAGGATGCTTGAGAACTCCTCGGCCGACTCTGCGCTCGTGGATACAGCATTTACCTTCAGCCAGAGCGCAAGCACTTTAATCGCACGAGCAACCGTGCGCGCCAACTTGGGAGCGCGCGCGAACGACCCGCTACGGGCGCCGCGTGCACCCTGCTGGTCGGCGCTCATTCTTCTCGGGCCCTGGCGCCGGCTGCTTCCGAACACGACCGCGGCCGCAACCTTGCCCCGATCCATTGCCGGGGCGCCCCTCAGACAGTCGCGAGTTCCCCCGATTGACCCATTGACCCAATCCCCATCAGCGACGCCTGCACGCACTACTGACACAACCACATTTCTCAGCCCGTCGGGAGGGCTGTCAGCCAGGATCGGCGGCCTGGTCATCGCGTCGCACTCGCTGAACTCCACCGCCGGCGCAGCTCCAAGGAGTAGCCGCCACGGCAGTCTAATAACCTAAGCCTCTGGGGCCCCGCGGGCCGCTGGGGCGGCCCCAACCTCCCGGCCTGGATTTCGTCGCAGGCAAAGCGCTCGGCCCCTCAACATCTAGCGGCCCAGCCTCACGGGGGCCCGCGCTCCCGGGGGGCGCCGGCCCAGGGGCGGGCGTCGTCTGCGTCGCTGCCTCAGCCTTCTCAGAGGTGGGCCAGGGCGGCAGAGTGAATGGCCGGAGCGACGTACAGGAGAGCGCCACATCGCTGCTGTCGTGCCCTAGCTCTTTCATAGGGGCCCGCGTCGCTGTCGTCGAGATGATCGAGATGCCTTCGCTGCCGTACTTCTCTCCGCGCCCAGCGCAGGGTCGCGCGGAAGTTGCCGCGGGCTGCCCTCGACCTCTGGTCGCAGGGCTGCTCGCGGGTTCATGAATCGGCCCACCAACCTCCGGCGATTCGTCATCGTAGTGCTCCGTTCTGGGAGTTCTGTCTCCTCGTAGCTCCGTGAACTCCTCCAGCGCTCTCTCCAGCCACCTCCAGTGCCGGGCTAGCGCCGCCTCCCATCCTTCATGGGTGTCCAGATCTGCGTGCATCTGAAGATGCTCGACCAGCGCCGCCCTGTGGCTGCGTGTCATCCAAGCTACCTCGCACATCTCCTGGGCCAGCTCCCTCGGCGGCCTGCTGAGCCTCGCAGCTTCCACCCAGCCGCGGTGCCCAGGCCACTGCAGCACCTCCTGCGTGCACGGGGCGCACCACATCTGCCGCGTTCGCCCGCCCGCCTCCACGTCGCCCAGCCCGGGGGTCCAGCAAACTGCGCGACGCGCCATGCTACTGCGGGGCCTCGTCTCCCGAAATCCGCCACCACCGGGCGGGGGGGAAGCATTGCCATGGCCCCGGGCCCCCCGTCATGCCTCTCTGCAGGCAGCTGGCGGTTGCGGGGCAAGTGCTGAGGGCTGCCCCAAACCTCCTCCTGTCCCGGGCCAGCGCGCCAGCACGCAGGCGAGGATCTCGCCCCTTCGACCTCCAGCGGCTCGAGACGCCGCGGGGCCGCCCGCCCCCGGGGGGCGCGCGCCCAGGCGCAGGCTTCGTGCACGACGCCGCCGCGGCCTCCCCGGGGAAGGGCCAGGGCCGCAGAGCCGACGGCGCAGACGATGTTCAGGCAGGCGGATCGCCGTGGAGGCCCAACACACTGGGGAGCCGAGAAAGCCCCAGGACTAGCATCTGGCGCTGGTGCATTGACAACCCATACCAGAATACCGACATCGACCATTGACCAGCGAGGCGCCCCATCCGCGTGGATCTC